TATATATATATATATATATAGAACATGTTTACGATGAGTTGTAGCATTCAAGTGCTTTTCATTTTGCAGACCATTCAAATATTTTGAATGGTGCTTTATGGCCCTTCCTCATAGAAGTTTGCTGATGACGAACAAGACAAAACTAATTTGAGTGGTTGTTGCATGGAAGTTAACGTGAAAACTTTGACAGTTGAACTGAAGAATAATTCTCTTCATCAGATAGTTTGTTTTGCTAATGTGTTCAGCTTGCTTACAATTATCATTTCATTGCTTCTCGCAAATGCACTTCAGTGGACAAATCAACCATGAATGTGTACTTTCAGTTACATTTTTGCTGCTCTCCACCTCATCATTATGATAGAAACTAAATCAAAACAACAAGAAAATTCGTTTCGAAAAACTTTCGTCTAAAATAATTCCGTAATGAATAGAGAACAAGTATCGATGCATATACGTTCAATGTATTCGAGTGAACATAAAACATCATTGAGAAGTGAATTGGTTGTACGCACATAAACTGAAGGCAACGAAATGGAATGGGACAGCTAAGAAGATGCGCGATCGTGTGGCTATCATAAATAACTAACTCTAACACTCTCGAGTAGTCATGCAAAACGTTATGGCTGCTCACATGTGTTGCTCTGCTCTTTCGTTGATGTTTTCAGGGAAGCGTTTCGAAGAAGGAAAGGGCGATTAAATATAATATTTATAATGGAATAGAATCGACTCGAATAGCGCATGTTGTTTTGTGAATTAAACAAGCAGCAGCAGCACTAGCATTTGCACTCATCACACAACTCTCAGCATGCTTCATTCTGAACAAATATAATTTCAGCATATGGCTGAGAACAAATCATTCAACACCGAAGCAATTAATCGAATGAATCTCTGAAAATGTAAAGAAAATAGCAGTGCATATTATGAAAGGAAATGTGACGATCATACGAATGATCATATTTAGAACTTGATAAACTCTGTGAGTTTCCTACTTAACCAATACATTGTTGAATTTTGGTGAACTATAAAATTCCCATTTTTTATTTTGCAAATATATTATAATATTTCAATATTTCGCGATCTAATCCTCTACATA